TGGCTCCCAAAGTGGGGCTTCAGGAGGGTAAGGGTTAAAAAAAGATTTGAGAACCATTGCTTTAAACGAGCAAAATTAAATACTTATTTTAGGGCTGAGTAAACAAAGTTTTTCAGCATCTTTTTAATGAGATTTGACAAGTGAGAGGTGATTCTGTACATGACTGCTAAAGAGAAAGCTAATTAACTTATTAGAACATAATTAGTACATAATATCTCAACATGCATGCAGTTTATTAGACGTCTTCTCTTGAGACGGAAGTCACTGATTGCATTTCCATGTTCATAAAATTTGACTTCTGACTTCGTGTTGGAAGGAGCCATTAGACGATGGTAAACTGTGGCAATAAAAAAAAACCTGTACAGAGTCAGCAGAAACACTCATGTCGTGGCAATTAAACCACAATTTACTGGTAAATTAAGTGTCCAAAGTGTGCCAAGAAAACATTCCCCAGTCTATCTGTATTGTTGGCAACAGCATGGAGTCATCTTTTTAAAGCCCAGTGACCCTGCTGTCTGCAGTCTCAGCATAAATGAAGTTTGTCAGAAGGTTTTCTGTCCAGATTTAGTGAACCGATGCTCTTCACAACCTCCAGTTTCAGAAACCTGACACGGCCCTTTATTGTAGTCCATTGTTTGATAACTATATAACACTATAATATTTTTTTCTTTACAACATATTTTAAAACTGGAGATGAAATGTTTGGGTGGATGAAACCGACAAATTAGAAACAAAAATCTGCAACTACAGTAGAAAATCACAGCAGCAGAGGACCACAAACACCCACAAAACTCCATTCAATCTTAGTAATTAGAAAAAAGCTATTTTCACATTGAGAATACACTGATGATCCACGATGATCTCAGTGTCCTTAAAAACTTTATGTGGGCGATCATAAATGCTCCAATAGTGGATCTTTATTTACCTCAGCTGCACAGAGATCGACTGGAGACTTGTTTATATCAGGCACAAACATTATTGACAATATTTCTTTTTATATTTGCTCAGTTTCATTAATAATGGTTAATATCTGTCAGTTAAGCTGTTTTGACGGCTCTAACTGTGCAACTGGGCATTGTTCAGCGATATTAGTAAGTTACTGCTCAACATGTTGCATTTACAAAACATACTCTGCAAGCAGAAAAAATAGGATTTCGCACAAATTTGGCACTTTGGGGTGATTTTTAAACCAAAATTAAACGAAACCTGCTCCAGTCTGGGATATGTGTACAGCATAAGTTACCATAGTGATCTAGCTCGGTAAAAACAGAGCCAGCAACTTTGTGACACTAACCAGTCTGACTTTAAACTGGACATATCTCATTAACCCATAAATCTAGCTTTATAGTTGCACCCCTCCGGGCTCATGCATGACCCAACTTGGTAACTTCAAAGTTGGTAACTTCTCCTTTAGTAAGTTAGTGCTTAGTGGCAGACAGTACAGTTTTTTCTGTTTGTGTTTGTGTTCTTTCTGAAACTGCAAATGACACTTCAGTGAGTCGTCGTCTTTCCTTCCCTTTACTACTAGACTTTCAATATGAAACAGGAAGCGTTGCTCATATTTCTCCTAAGCTTGCAAAGCAGCTGTTCAGACAGTTTTTCTAACTAAAAATGCAAAGGACAGGGCTGGAGTGATAATTCCAACGTACTGATGGAGTTTGAATAGCAAATCATTATGTAACTCCTTCATGCTTTAGTTCTGTACTTGGCTGCTGTTTATTTTTTGTTATTGTTTATTTGTGGATAGTTTAATAGGAGGCTTTGTGTGAAATCCTCAAATTTAATAAAAAGGATTTGGATTAAATCATCTATTTTAAAATGCATGATTTGTGTGTGTGTGTGTAAACTGTGATGGCTTGCGTGGCTGTGGGAGAGTTGGATTAACGGTTATTTAGCCAGATTTTTATCTGTGAATAAACATTGCAAGCAAAGAAATGCTCTTTGGCGTTCAGCGGGGTGCGGTTTTCCTGCTTGTGTGGTTGTTCTTGGTGTTTTGTTGGCGCAGGAAGTGAAACCAGCTCTGACTAAACCCAAACATAACCCATGTTCTTCCAAAGAATGAGCTGTTGGAAGTAGTCCTGCAGGAATTGCATCATAAAGTCAGAAATCTGACTCCTGCATGGTTTATTTTTTTAAACAGAGAACAGTAACAATCTTATTATCGACTGTATTTCTGCTGCCTCTTAGAATAAACCTTTAGATAGACGTGTTTTTAGTCAAACATGATGACAGTTTTACAAATAAGCTTCACACCAGAGACCTTGACCTAAATGTGAGATATTACTGGTTCAATGTTTCTGTTAAAATATAAGCAGAGATGAGGTGAAAGGGAATTAAAAATGTTTTTCTTTCTTCAGGTTAAATTTAAAAGAGGAATTCCTCTGCAATCTGAAGGTATCCAATTAATAAACATATCGTAAATCTAAGATCAATCTTTGTTAGATTCGACTGGTAAAATTGTTGTTTATGAACAGAGAAAAGAGAAGAAAGAAAAAAGAAGGAAATCATGGACCCGGAGTTCTTTGCAGTTTATTTAATGTTTTGTTTTGTTTTGGGGTTTTTTGAAGGCCAGTCAGGAAGTTGGTTAGCATCGCCTTGGTTCCTTTGATTGAAAGAAAAATACCTTTTCTGCAATAATAAAGAAGTTTATCAGTAACATATTATTTGCAACTTAACTGAGATCTTCCTAAAAGCAAAGAACTAACATTAAACTATAAACTACACCGCATGATGTCAGCATAACCAAGAATAACTTCCTATTCTTAGCGCGATGACACTGAAAATGTCTCACAATGCAAAAGCTTCATAATTCACAGCTGAGATTTTTACTTAATCTTCATATTTTTAAGCTTGTCTTAACCCAGACCTTATTTCAGATGAGTCAGCGTCAAACCTGTCCATTAAAACACATTAAAAACAAGGAAGCTGTGTAGTTATTTCCTGCTTTTAAGCCTCTGCGTCGCCCTGGAGATGCCCACAAAAAGTAATGACGTACAGCATGGAGTTTGAAGTAGAAGCTGGTTCAGGATGATCAATAAACATGATGGACAGCAAATCAAGCCGTCCATTTTCTTCGAGTTATCTATTTAACAGCCACATTTAACAGGGTGAGAGGTTGGCTGCACCCTGGGCACGTCTCTAGCCTGTCACAGGGCCACCACAGAGACGACTATTCATGCTGAGAAAACAGGAAAATATAATAATAATAATAATGGATTGGATTTATATAGCGCTTTTCAAGGCACCCAAAGCGCTTTACAATGCCA